TGCGGCCTGGCGGCCCCCGGACCACGCAGCGGGACGACGCGCGTCCGCGTGTGTGCTGCCTGCCGCGTTCCGGCTGTCCCTGTGGATCGCTGACAGTTTGACACATTCGTGTCACTTGGATGTCGTTTCGGCAAGTGAAGCATGAACTTACCTCCGTTGACGTTCGGAGCATCTTCCTAGACCTCCGAAGTCCTGGGAGCGCAGGCGCTGGCGGCCGCAGGCACGGGCCCGGTGGGCGCGGGCTGCCGGGTGGCCGCGGCGTCTCACCTTGCCCTCGCGGTGTTCTCAGGTGGCAGAGTGGGCGTGCGCACACGCCGGCCCAGGTCGCACGCCGCCAGCGAGCCAGCATTTAACTGCATGGAGGGGAGGAACACGGGTTACAAAGGGGAGCAGAGTTTGCCACCCCAAAATATGCCTCTTTGGGATATAGACTGGTTAACTTTAAGAAACTGCAGACAGGGAGAAACTCCGAAAAGCGAAGAGAAGTTAACTTTGTAGGGAACACTTGCGTCTGTAAGTGACAGGCCCATCTATAAGGGTGTCTCCGTCACTGTGCCGGGCCTGCCTGCCTTGTCAGCGGAGAAGGCCCGAGCTTAAATCTGTGTGACAACAGTTCCCCTGTTACTGTGCTTTTCCTGGCAACCTCCCATAACTGTGTCCACCCCCAACATTTTGTCTTTAGTCGAAGGTGCTATTTAAGGGGATGGCTTCCACCACTTTGGAGAGTTACTCAGTGTTCCTGGTTCTCTCCTACGAATGCAGGAGGTACACCCGTTATTAAACTGTCATTTTTTTTCTCCTGCTAATCTGTCTCATGTCAATTTGGTTATTTGTCTGGCCAGGAGAACTTTAAGGGTAAAGGAAGATTTTTCCTTCCCAACTTTTACCACTCATTTCTGTGTCTCTGCCTGTACAGTCAAGTCGTAGGCTCTGTTTGCATTACTGCGAGATTAGAGGAAAGGAACGTAGAAAGCAGTAGTCAGAGGCAAAAAATGTGAGAAGAAAGATAAGTCAAACAGTATTGATCGAGGTTTGCAACATCATCGTAGAAGTTCCAGAAAGTAAGAACAGAGAAAAATGGTTGGGTGAAACTTACAAGAAAAGAAATTTCAGAACTGAAGGGAGACGTGAGTGTGCAAATGTGTAAGACCTAGTGAGTACTGAGCAGGAAAAGGAAAAGTCTACATATAGGTGTTTCATGAAATTTAAGGATAGCAAAAATAAAGAGACGATTCTGAAGGCTTCCAGGAGCAAACACAGGTCTTCCATAAAGGAGTGAGAACAGGCTGGCAGTAGGCTTGTCAACAGGACTGGATGTTAGGAGACAAGCAATGCCGTCAAATTCCACGGGAAAATGACTTTGAAGTTGAAATCCTATACCAAGTACAGGGACGGAATGAAAAATGAAATAAAACATACACTGAGAAAGCTTTACCTCCAAATACTCTTTTTTTTTAGGATGTTACTTGAGCATGCGGGCTGGCAAAACAAGCGAGTTATCCAAGGAACTGGAGCATGTTGGCTTTGTGAACAATCGAACCCATTCAGCAAAGCAGTGAAGGTAAGTCCCAGAATGACAACTGCGCAGCAGGCCTGAGAGCCACCCATCCAGACCGCGAGCAGACCGCAGGGCTGTGAGAAAACATCCTGGGAACGAAAAAGTCCGTGGGTGCGACCGTATCCTGAAAATGTGGGAAGAGCCTATTGTATTGATGCCATAAAAGTAGACAATTCAAGACAAGTACAAAGGCTGTTGGAAGTCCTGTAGGGGTGGGGGCAAGTGACAAAAATATACAAAAAACAAGGCTAGTCATAGAATGCAGCTTGCCTGAGCAGAGAACGGTGTTTAGATCTGTAGATGCTGATTTCCAAGTTTACATCCGCCTGCAGATAAAGCAGGAATCCCTTGTCCCTGGTTACGAAACCGATTACATAAGTGTTAACCATGATACTGTGGAGGAGCAAGAGGTGACGGTGGCTGTGGCATGCAGCATGCTTACCTGACAGTGACGCGGTACGGCCTGCGGGTGAAACGAAGCAGGCGTGGGAGCACGTAATCAGTGGAAAAGCCCACAGTAGTGATGACGTGTTATAGAATTGTCTACTTCACGTAGCTGCTGTGCAACGTTCGCTTCCTCCCACTAGAGGAATCTGTAAGATAGGGTTGTTCGTTTTGTTCACTGATGAAGCTTAAGTGTCTGGAGCAGTGCCTAATACATGGTTAGCACTCAATAAATATTTGTTGAATTTCAGCGGCCCCTGAACATTTAGCTCCTTTTCCCCACAAAAGAGAAGTGTTCAGCCATGTTATGCAATATGTGTTTGGAATGTGCTAGCATTACACGTGGCTTAAAGTCTCCTTGAGGTTATAAATCTCCCCAGGCCAATGTCCTGTCTTCCAGGGCAGCGCTTGGCTATCTGGGCTGGGAGTCAGAAGATCCTGGCTTTAGTCTCGCCTTATCTGTTAAGTAGCTACACAATGTTGGGCAAGGTACGTTCTTCACCCCTCAAAGCCTCACTTACGTAATCTACGGAAGGAGGTGGCTGTAAATGAATTCCGAATTCTCGTCCTCTTATGTCACACGGTGTTACCAGTTACGAGATGGAAACGCAATGTTAATTTTGTGGTGTTTTCTATTTTCACATGAAAGCAGTTGAAACATGCAGCTGTCTGCATATTTTGAGTCGAATCTAGTAGAGTGGGTAAAAGTTACCTTCTTGGGAATCGGATTGTCTTTACTTTAATCCTCGCTGAACTGCTCCTTACCTGTGTATGAAGTTGATTAACGTCTCTCATCTTCAGTTCCCTCTTCTATAAAATGAATATTGTACCAATTTCAGAAGGCATTGTTATGTGTACTGTGAAATTAAATTAGTGCATGTAAAAACATTTACTGTAGTGCATGGTTCATGGTAAGGGCTCAGCAATTGTTAGCTATTAACTTTTTTATGAAATGTTAATCTTAGTGATAGTTTCTATTGCATAGTTTGCAGAAATAAATGAAGACCAACCAGATCAGAAAAGCAAAGGCTGTTTATTCTGAGCTTGCCATAGAGATGGAGTCAAACACTGTCATTTGCATTTTGGCAGAAACTCAAAGGCAGGCTGACCGTGGGAAAGCTTTCAGTGGAAAAAAGAGAAGTCTTCGGTGTGCCCCGCTGGGGGCTGCTGGCAAGCGGAAGCTACAGGCTGGTTAAGTAGAGTGAGGCCCCCTGGTTGGGGGTGCGTGTTTGGCCTTCTGTGCTTAGTACTAAGTTGGAAGCGGGGACAGAATATAGGGAAGCTGTCAAATCCTGGATTTTCGAGGCCGACTGTCACAGAGGTTATTGTTTAGCGTCCCAGATTGTCACTGGAGATAGCGATCTGGCCTCCTACAAGTCCGACATAGCCTGGCTTCCTGGACATTTTATTGCAGATAAAGGGACTGGTCTCCTGGGCAGGCTGCTGCAGGTTGTGTGCCAAAGTTCTGTTTTTATATATAGTCTGGCCACGGTCTGTTTGCATATTCAGTCTTTCAGGTTCATAAGAAAACGGTAAAATTTTCATTTTTTTCATGGAATTAGGCTTTCTGATATCTCAAAATAATATTAAATGTAGGGATAGTTTAACTCAATTCATAAATTTACAATGACATTGTAGTTCTAGAGTTTGTTCCAGTTAAGTGTTAACTTAATGCCAGAGTGAGATTCTGTTTGGCTGATAGTAACTAAGACTTATTAGCAGTTGTCAAGAATATGGACCAGAGAAAAATGAATTGCTTTAGTTTTTTTTAAATCAAATTTATTTAATTGATTCAAATATTGATAGTTTGTTGGTATAAACCTATCCAGTCAGCATCTTGCAAAGTGCATTACCTTCCCTTAATCCGTTTTACCCATAAAAAGGCTTAGAACAAATATAACGATAGATATTCTCTACCTAATCTTCCTCATCAAGCGTGTTTGCCCATTAGATCAGAGAAGACTCAGATTCCCACAGAGGTGTTTTTGGAGAGAGACTCACTTCCTACGTTTCCCTCCAGAGGCTTCAGAACTTCAGCGTAGGCCTCGAAATAGGATCGTTTCATAAGAACGCTGCTGTTATTTTTTTCATGTTAAAATGTAGTTTTGTTATTTTGCTCCTAGCTGTATTCTTTTAGTTTTAAAAAACTATTTGGCCTCCCCAGTTAATCATGTGGCTCTCGGAGTCTTCAGAGGTACTTGCCCACTCACAGCGACGTATTCGAAGATTCTCTCGCCTGGCAAGCTTCAACTACTGTATTTTGCACTCATTTCCTATAAATTTGAAAGGAAAAGCTATTATGTCAAATACATCACAGTTCAGATTATTTGGAAAGAAAACCTGAATACCTGTCATTACGTAGTTTATTCTTGATATATTCCAATGGTACAAGAAGAGGAATTGTTAATCTAGCATTTTAAGGCATTTAAAATTATAAAATTATTTTAAAATAAGACAACCAATATTTATGTAATGGTGATATTATCAGATATGTAGTATTACTAAAATAACAATATATCTGTCCTTGTTCTTAGTCTTAAAATAGATTATTATAAATCCCCCAAATAGTGGCTTGAATTATAAATGTAAACATATAGTTATAGCTTAAATTCTATTTTAGAATATGTACCAGTCATGGCAGTTAAAGCAGTCATTCGCTGTAACTCAAATGTTTGATAGGGTTGTTCTTTTGGGGGGTTACCAAGGAATGTGCTTATTCGTGTGTATTTTATGTTAATTTATGAACCATATTAGAAATCAATTAAAACTCATGCTAAGTGTATCAGAAATTTAGTACGGCACCCAGGGCTCAGGACCAGAGTTTGGAATCAGTTTCTGTAAAACACATCCAGCCTCCTCCTGTAATGTGGGGAGGGGGTGCTAATTTTCCTTCCTGTATGAAAATACTATGTATATGCAAGAGTTTACCTCCAGAGTTAACTAACAAAAGACGCCAGCACTTTAGATAAAGTAATGAGATAAAGGAGATTTGAAATGAATCTACTCAGTGTTTCTTTCCTTATGAGTATGTATTTTATTGGTAGAAAGATTCAGTTTGACTCCTTTACAAATCTGTCTGTGCTTATTTAAAATATTGTCTTCTTTCATTGTGATTTATATTCCTTTCTTTCTTCCTTATAAGTATTATGTCAAAATATCTTTCGGATACTATATGGCATCTTTTTTCCTAGTCCTTGGTGAACAAATTCTTGTATTTGTTGTGTCTGTTAGTACTTTCTCGCAGTGATTCATTTCCTCAAGTGGATTAGAATGTCCAGCTATAAATTCATCTTGAGCAGGGCTTGGTTTGGGGGTTCAGGCTGTGTACTTGGGATGTAGGATCCTAACCACATTTGCGTCTGCCCAGACTGGACGGGTCTCACCATTAGACCAGTTATCTGTGAGCGTCATTGCAGCTGAGCAGACACATGGATTGGACCCCACAGCGCCCCCCATGGGTGACTTCCTTTCCTCCCAGGCTTCCTCATAGTCTCCTAGGCAGGATCAGTGCTGAAGTTTTTCCATTTTATGGAAAAGTCAGCTCCTTAGGACTCCTGATCATATGCGGGAAGTTTAGAGTTAGGTCTCTCGTCTGGGACACATTTCATCCATGTTTATCAGAGTCCCAGCACCCCACTCTGTCATGAAACTGGTTTCAGCAAGTCCACTGGCTAGAAGGACCTTGTAATTTATCATCTCAATCAGGACACTTTGAAAATGGGGAGGGGCATGATTATTAATTACTCTGAGGCAGTAGATGTCAACCAAGCCTGCCCTTAGCATGCCTGTACCTGTGCGGTGACACTTCAGTCACCCTAAGGGGCGAGCTATTTTGGCTTCCGCTTCTGCTCATTAATCATGGCCCCGCGTTTTCCATTCCTTTATTTCCACAGTCTGGAGGGGTCACGGCGCCCCACCCGTCACCAGAAGTGTAAGCACCAGGGTCCACTGCCGCCGGCACACGGTGTGTTCGACCTCGTGGAGTGCGGGTGGCCTTCTGATTCACAGACAGTAAAATGTGGAAAATGTGTACTGTAGGACCAATGAGATATTGTCTGTAATGGTAACAAAATTTTAACTGCTGATATCTTTTGATCCTCTTGCTAGCAACAATCTGTTGCTAGGAGTCTATCTTGAATAAATAATGATAAAGGCAGAAAGTTCTGTGTACAGAGATGTTCACAGCAATGTTATTTATATATGTAAAAATTAAAATATTTTCTGTTTCTGGCAACAGGAACATTAAATAAACATGATAAATTCACTCAGAAGGCAAAACACAGATATGCAGTAGGACTTCATTGCTATATATAAAAAAATACCCAGAACTTAGTTTGCAAAAGAATACATCAAAATGCAAAATGTTATCTATCATTAAAATAAAATTTTTTAGAAGTCATCATTTGTGTTAGGGTGGTTTGGGCTATGTTTTTGCTGTTCAGTATATTGAATCTACATTTTCTTTTTAAAATTACACATTTTCTAAAAGTATATACTACTTGTATTGATTTAATATTATTTGGTGTTTTTATTTAATGAAAATCTCAACCGCATATTGTATAAGACGGTTTTAACCTTTAGGGTTTTTTTATTATCACATGCTACAGGCATTTTAGTGATTTTAAAAGCCCGTAAATAGAAAAATGTTTATCAGAAGGTTTAATATGTCTATTTCTTCCCAAGATTTTTAGTCGACCCCAAACTAATTCTTTCAGAAACTCAGAAGATAACATTTCAGTCTGAAAGTACCCTTGCAAATTGATTAGTTCAAGTCCCTTTTTAGTTCCGAGCATTTGTCTCTCCTCGGTGATGGGGTAGCAAGGCAGGTCATCACTGGGCGGTGTTGCCTGCCTAGTCCTGACCGCGCGTGGACTCAGGGACTCAGCGCGTGGACTCAGGGACTCCTCCCACCGGTTCTCGCCTGCGACACTGTCGGTGTCACCTTCCCTGTCTCTCTCTCCGTTACAGTTCACGAAAACAGCAGCCAGGGATCTGAGCCAGGCCTGTTGTCACACCTCCTCGTAAGTACATTCGTCTCCCTGTGTGGTCTGGAAATTCCAAACCCAAGAGCCATCAAAACAGAGAAGGGCATGAGGTGTGCTTCAGAATCTAGGTTGCTAACGACCTGTCCTGGGCTCAGGGAACCAGAGTGTTATGAATTATCAGCGTGTTGGCAACATCCGTGTCCAAATGCAGGTATAGAAACACATTCTGGCGTGAGAGAAGATCTGTCTTTTACTCACACTCTGTTATTCACACTGACATTGCTTCCCATAGTGTCTGGATTAGCTAAACAGTGGTATTTTTCACGTACATCAGTTCAGTGTGTTGGCGTCAGCGTGGTGTTAGGATCTGGAGTCACGTGGTGGACTCTGCTTTCTCGCCCTTGGTTCAGGGATCCCTGGCAGGTCGTTGAAATCCTCCAAAGCTTGGTTTGCCGGGTTGTACATGAATAAAATGACAACATTTACGGGAGGAGAGATCAGGCCTTTGGGCGGATCGCTGTAATTTGCCTCATGGACAGCGTGATAAAACATCTCTACCTCTGGTCTAGAAACTGCACACAGGCCGCCATCCTCCCCGCCTGCATTGCGAAAGAGACACCTGCCTCATGAGTAAGGTCAAAGTTTACAAACTGGTTTTGCCAGGAGAGTGCTTGGGGACAGAAAGTACGCGGGGACACTGTGTGCTGTTGTGGCTGTGGACATGCAAAGTCAGAAGCTCCTCCGAACGTGGTGGCCAGGGCACCGGCTGCCTCGAGGCCGGCGGGGAGGGGCGTGGCACGGCCCATGACTTCACATGCGCTGTTGCCTTTAAGTCTGCGAGGGCAGGTCGCCGCCCCGTGGTGGGTAGCAGTGTGGACATTGGGCCTCGGGTCCAAACTATGATAGCTTGTGCCTTTTTAATGGGGACTGTCACTATACAAACTTCCAGACTAAACGTCTTTCCATTTTAACTTGACGGGAATACAAGCTTCTCCCAGATGCTCCACTGTGGAATGAGAAGAGCAGCCTGAGCAGCTGCAGCTGAATAAACTGTGCACCTGGGTCAGAATGAGTGTCAAAAACTTCTGTCTCTCCATTATTAGATGAGCCATGTGAAGCCATACCTCACCCAAGTCAAACCATTCCCAGTAGAAAATATTTTACAAGGAGAATATTGAATATTTGGTTTTACAGAATAGTTTTAAAATCTTAGGTGTTTATTAACACTGGTTTCTGAGTTCCCATGAATCTTCTTTTATTTCAAGAGTTTCATGACACCCTCTCCCCTGCAAAAAGAAGAAAAGGAAAAAAGGCCAGGAAGGCGGCCCCATGGGCGAGTGGGCCCCGTCTGACTCCGGGGCCGACTTTCCGAGTCAGCGGAACCAAGGCCAGCTCACTGGACGTGACGCTGCCCGCTTGGGCCACCTGAGCGCGGCCTGGCCCCGCGTCCGGTTAGACCAGCGACTAAGCAGCAAGTGGGCATTCCATTCCAGGGTGGGCCGGGTGACCTCGCGCTCCTTCCCCAGCTGTGGGACAGTCACTTTCAGCTCAGCTGCTGGGAAACAAGGAAGTTTCTGCTCTGTGAAAACTATAGCTCAGGATTTTTTTTGGGGTGGGGGAGCGTTTTGGCAGGACTTTTATTTATTTTTTTAAATTTTTTATGCCTACAGCACCCGGTCTTCCCAGGCGGTCTCCCATCCAAGTACTAACCAGGCCCGACCCTGCTTAGCTTCCGGATCAGACGGGATCGGGCTCGTTCATGGTGGCAAGGCCGTAGACCTTGGCAGGACTTTTGTTGATTGAGAAAAAACGAAAAAATTTTCACAATGTGCTTTATTTGAAATATTAGGTATTTCTGTATATTCAAAAAAAATTTTTTTATTAAACGTTTATGCTTTGTTAAGTACCAGAGATATGAAAATCAGTATTTTGCTTTCCTCACGGAATGCACAGGTCAGTGCGTGGACATGTGCGCATGGTGGGTACATGGCCATCGCAGCCTCTGACCCCGCAGGGACCTGGGCTGCCTCTGCCGTCCCTGCCAGTGCGGACACCGCCAGTCCGTCTACCTTACAATGTTACTGAGGAGGTGAAAATACACGTCTGCAAGTGTTTTAAACACGTCTTTTAGTAACGTGGCCCAGCATGTGATCTGCCTGAATTGTGTCCCTAGGGTTAGAGTAGGGGGCGCTCGCTAAAGGGAGGGGTCCAGGCTCCACCCCACACCTGCCCTGTAGAGTGTCAGGGAGCGGAGCCGGAGCTGCGCTTGGTAACGGCGTGATTCTCAGCACGTCGATTCGAAAGCTTTGTTTTATTCGGGTGTTTCACACGGTTATCATCAGGCCGCTTGGGACCCGTAACCTGCCTAGGTCCTCGGCATGTAGGGGAGACAGGGCCCCCTCCAGTTACCTCTAAATCTCGTTCCCTTCTTACCACTTCACGTTGTTTCTTACACGGAAGGATGAAGTGGATGGAAAGTACTGTTTTTGTCGGCAGGAGACACTGACTCTTGTGAGAAACGTCACGTGAGTGACAGACTGCCCCGAGCCGGGCGGGGCAGACCATGGGGGGTGGCCCCTCGACTCCTACCTGCTCCTCCAGTCTCCCTCCAGAGGAGCCCCCTGCCCCCCACAACTAAACAGACGTTTCGACGGTGGAGGACTTGCACGTGACTGACTTTTCTGAGAGTTCGCTTCCGTAGCTGAGCTCTCGGGCCATCACGGTTCCCACACTGTGTCCCTCAGCGCCCTCAGACTCACGGGGCTCCATGGGACATTTAAAGTTCCAAGGCAGTGTCGTCTGTGCAAAGCCCTAGCTCGAGGTGGCTCACAGTTCTGTAGAATGTGCTGCATCCCTTTCTGTTATATGACATCTTTATGAGACCATTGTAGCTGCCGCTGTGATGAGAAGCAGTTACCGCCACGTGTAACCAGGAAACGCAGGCGGCGTCCAGCCTGGTCCACGGTCTGAGAGGCTGCCCAGTGCCCAGCCAGCTCGCACGTCCCTGCCGTCAGTGACAGCGGTCCTTTCTGGGCAGAGTAATAGTTCTTCTAATTTATGGGCATTGTTTTTCCAAACAGTGACTATGTTAAGACGACACACATATCGATCGCGTTGCTCGGACTCGACTTAACCTAACCCCGAGGCGTTCGAAACGGTGCGACGGAGCCGCGGAGTCTGGGAACTTCTACATTGGTTGACGGGAGAAAACAATCTGATTGGAACTTTAAACCCAGTTAAACACGTGTGTTCATAGAGAAGCCGCTCATGTCCTCAGCGTCGGAAGGCAGCGGTGGCTACGCTGAGGGCCCAGACGTCCTGGGCCTTCCCGGACACGACGGGTCAGGACTGGCGGGGCCCGGCGGTGGCCTGCGCACGGCTGTCCTTCCTGACGTGGGACCGTCTTCCCGACATCCCTGCATCCGCCCCACACCGTTCTGACCTCTTGGACTCCCCCTTCCCGGGACTGCGAGCCTTGGAGGGACAGGGATGTGGAGAGGGAAAGGCCGCCCACCTCCCCACTTGCCACTGGCTTGCACCTGTCACTCAACACAGAGATTATTCAGCACATTATTATTATTGCATTTCTGCCTCTTCTGGGACTTTCACTTCATTATTTTTCAAGAAACAAAAGTAAAAACCAGGAAAGACTTGGTTTCATTTGTACAGTCTGCTCTTGCTTGGTGACAGGCGGCCGTGTGTGGGACATGGGGCGACAGGCTGCCTTCCTGGCCTCTCGTCTTGTGAGACGGGCATAATGCCTGCTGCAGAGAGTTGCCGACAGGACCTGCTGTGCATGAGGCAGGTGGCACGGGGCTGGGCACATCTGAAATGTCCAGGAAGCACGGCTCTCCCGCCTCGGGCCTCCTGCTAAGCCCACCCTGCAGACGCCGTCATTCTCCTGTGGTCACGGTTTCAGTCCGTCACAGTCAGCCGCAGTTTGAACATACCAAATGGAAAGTCCCGGAAATAAACAATTCTTAAGTTTTAAATTCCACGCCGCTCTGAGTAGTGTGATGAATCCTGCTCCATCTTACCCAGGACGTGACTCACCCCTCTGCCCAGCGTCTCCACGCAGTATGCACGGCCCGCCCCGGTCTCGGAGCGGCCATCTCGGTGACCAGAGGGACTGTCTCGCTGTCGCAGTGCTGTGGTCGTCACCCTTATTGTGCTTCATGTCGGCCCCAAAGCCAGTCACGTAACTATTATTACAGTGTATTGTTATAACTGTTCTGTTGCTATTGTGCTAACCTCTTGCTGTGCCTTATAGATCGAATTGCATCGCGGGTGTGTATTTATAGGGGAAACATGTGGATCTGGGGTCTGGTGCCACCCGCGGTTTCAGGCACCCCCTGAGGGTCTTGGGCGTGTCCCCGCCGATGAGGGGGCGGCTGCATCTGCATTTATAACACCAGGAAGCGGAGCCCATGGAACGTCTCCGGCTTGGAGACGGCCATTCTGTCTCTTCCGCCTTCTCGGATGAACTGTTTTGTCTACGAGTTGCTTGGCTGCTTCCCGCTGCATCGGGAGGGGCTCCGATGATGGCACTTGACCCTGTTCCGTGGGAGGGGGCCGCACGCTTGCCCTGGTTCTCTCGGCGCCCACACTGCCGTGCGTGCTGCGGAGGACACATTTGCTCTGCGCTCTCTTGACACAGCTCTGAGCTGTTCTGTCTTTGCTCATACTCAGAGTCACCTCGTCCCTCCTCTCGTTTTTCTCTATCCAAAATTTACACCTCCCTTTAACTGTGCCGCGGTGGCGGTGGCGGTGGCGGTGGCGGTATAGTGGTGAGCATAGCTGCCTCCCTCGAATTGTGCCTTTTCCGATCATCCCATCTTTCTGGGGTTCTCCCCAGCCTGCACCCCCTCCGCAGCTGTAGTCTGGATGCTCACGTAGCACGTGGAACATCCTGTCACCTGAGGCACATTTTTAGCTCCAGTTCTGTGATGATCTGCAAGCGGGTCTCTGTGAGACTTGGCTGCGCAAATCCAGGACTACTGCCCCGCACCCCCCTGCTTCTGTCCTCATTGCACTGGGCCTTGCAGTAGTAAATTCTTAACAAATTCTTGCTGAATACTTTGGGTCGATTGCAAAAGATTCAGTATGTGACATACTTGGATAAGCACAGATAAAGGGAAAAAGATAAAATGTCAGCTAGTGTCCTAAACGAATTCTGTTCATCTGTCAGATGGGAAAAGTTTCCCCCAGAACTGATTTCGTTAGAGTGTGTCTTGCTAAAACGAAGTGAAAGCCTTTCTTCATCTTCGGCTTGTGTTGGTCTGAAGGAGGAGATGAGAGATGGTTGGCCCCTGGGTGAAATGCCGCGACACAATCAAGTCGATGGTCAGCAAAACAGAGGCTGATGTGCAGCACGCCCAGTGCTTAGAGTGAGTCGGGCAGCGCTTCGTGCCCTGCAGCCATGTCAGTTCACGTGACCCACACGCTGGCCATGCAACGCAGGTGTATTCTCATTCCTGTTTCGTAGATGGGGTCACCGAGACAGTGTTTCGGAGACCTGCCTCCAGTCTAGAGCGGACGTGTTAGGCCAAATAACAGCCTCCCGAAGACGTCCATGTCCTCATCCCCAGACCCTGCGACTGTCACATTGTCGAAGGGGCTTTACAGGTGCGATTAAGTTTAGGATCTTGAGATGGGGAAATTATCCTGGACATCCAGGTTCTTAAAAGAGGGAGGCAGGAGGGTCCGAGGCAGAAGAAGGAAGTGGCAGCAGGGAGCGGGAGCCGGAGCTGGCGCGGTGCGCCCCGGAGCGGGAGGACAGGCCGGGGGCCGAGGCCGTGGGCCCCTGCGAGCTGGAATGCGGAGGACCTGGCCGTGCCCCGCAGCCCTCCGAGGAACATGCCCTGCCCGCCGGGACGTCTCCCCCAAGCCTCGTCCCAGACTTCCGGCCCCCAGGGCTGTCCGAAGAAGTCTGTCGTTGGAAGACACTGAGCGCAGGACGGATGCAGCGTGTGCATCTGTTCCCGAGGAGCTGGGTCTGCAGGGGAAGCGGGTGAAGCTGCGGAGACAAACTGTTCTGGGCGCTGCGGGGGGAAGGGCGCAGGGAGGAGGGCGAGCTCAGGGCGTGGCCCACGGAAGAGCCGCGCGGCCCTCTCAGGCCTCGTCCCCACCGTGAGGCTCGGCGTGGGCGGCCACCCCAGCCGTCTGCGCCTGGCCTTGTCGCCTGTGAACAAGGATGGCGTGCCACGCCTGCTGTGGGACGGAGGGCGGCGGCCGAGGTCTGTCGCCCTGTCCCTTCCCAGGCCGAGGTCTGTCGTCCTGTCCCTTCCCAGGGCCCCGTGCCCTTTCCTTTGTGCCTCGGGGTCCTGCGTCCCCACCCGCAGGCGCACGCTCTCTCCTGTGCCAGCGCATTGCAGGGTCATCCTGCGCTGGGTCAGAGCACCCGGACGCGTGGGTGACCATCCCCAGTGACCTGGGGCTCTTACTTTGGTTATGGCTCGTCCCTTCGCTAGAAGTCAGGCTTGTGAGAGAATATGTGTGATGTTACTATCCTTTTTACTCTTATTTACAAGGCTCATTCCATTCTGTTATTTCTATGAGGCCTTGAATTTTATTTTTGTTCAAAACCCAGTAAATGTTTACTGTCTTCTAAAACTTTCATCTGTTGTTTTTTTTTTTAACAGCTTGAGTCCCAGTTCAGTCCCTTTGGCCGTAAGTGGCGGTTCGAAGATGGAGGTCTCCCTCGTTTTAAGGAACGCGAGCGTCACCAGAGGTGAGCTCGTGGGCCGCTCGCCGTGCTGGCGGCACAGGGGTAAAGAGGGTGGCGCGGGGCCGAGGGCCGGGCCTCGTTGCCGGTCGCTGCGCTCACGCCCCGGGAGACGCCTCTGAGACACTGGGCTGGCACAGCTCAGGCCTCGCGTTCCAGTCTGCTCTATCTTGGACCTTGGCAAAGAGCGAGCCCCTTCAGGAGCTTTCAGGGAAGTGTGTGTGTCATCTTGACAGTGGCGCCACAGACACAAAGGCGTTTTTGTTTGCTCCAAACACCGTGAAGAGTGTGAGAGCTAATGCTTTCGGTCGCTCTCATTCTCCAGGAGAAATAATGGTGCCGGCCTGTTCGGAAGCCGCTTTCACACAGCGCAGCGGGCTGCAGGCCGCCCTCGCGGTGCCGTGACGCCCGCGTGCTGTGACGTGCGGGCTCTGAGAACGAGCAGTGCGTGCGGGCCCCTCTGGTGGCGATGATGCAGATGCATCCAAGGACTGTGACACTCGCAGTTCAGCTCAGTTGCTTGTAATTTCATTAACTTACTTCCATTCTACTTAATTTTATATAACAGGTATTTCTCGAGTCAGGAAACATTTAGTAAAACTATAACTTGAAAAGATTATTTACTAAAAGATTCTATATTAAAAATGGAAATTCTAATAACCGAAAACGCCTCATGCGATCATAGCCTAGTGTGAAGAAGATTTCAGCTCAGTTTGTTTGTATGAGGCAGCCCCTCCCCGCAACGCGCACAGACGCTCACACGTGCCAGCTCTGTTCCCAGGTGCTGGCCTGACCCCCAACCCGTCCGCCTTTGTGATGTGTGTTTAGTTGTCCCAAGAGATAACATGGACCTGGCTGGGAGTTTTGCTTTCAAAACAACTCATCTGACCTATCGGCTGTCTCACGCTTTGTATCTATAATTAAATATAAGAAAATCACAAGCCGCAATAGGTACCGGAACAGAAGCATCTCGGACACTCACTGTTTCCATAGCACGTGGCTGAAATCTCTCCACAGTCTTTCTGGGACCCGCTCGTACAAACGTAGCACCCTGATACTGTGAATGTATGTTCTTCACTGTTGCTAAACTGGTTGGTTCTCTGTCAGACACACCCTTATTTCTCCCTCCCTCCGTCCCTCCCTCCGTCCCTCTCTCCTCCATCCCTCCCCCGCTCCTTCCCAGACTGGCGTGCACCCCTGCCCTTCTTGTCAGCACCCTTGAGGATCAGCTCGGACCCCACTCCCTCAGCAGACGTTTAGCTCAGGAAGCCTCGCAGCGTGCGGAGCATGTGCCACACGCATCCCTCACTGCGCAACTTCAGCACATGCTGACGGGGGCGGGGCGCCTCAGGGGGACCACCGTGGGCTCACCCGAGCGGGGCAGAAGTACTCCCTCTCCCCCTTGGGGTGCCCCTGTGTTCAGGGTGGGGTGCTGTTCACTGGAGGTTACCTGGCCACTGTCAAAATATTCCCCCAGACTCCGATTTTGCCGAAATGAGTAGGTTCTGATACTTCTAAGAATGTGACACCATAAAAGTTATTTTTAGATTTTCTTATGTTTAGGAAAATTGAGCATTTAAAATTAAGATTGGTAAAAATTGCCAATTTTTATTACTGAGGACACAAAAAATAATGTATCTTGAAATTTCACATAATTTATATCTTAGTTTTTTAAACACTTGCACATCTATCATCTTATTTCATCCTTCGTACAAATTCACAAGCATTATTTCTCAAGTGGGCATTAGGGGGCCAGGAGTGAGTCTCAGAGAAGCGCCCTCAGCTTCTCTTTTCCGTAGGTACCAGGGAGCCACGAATGGGGGCCTTCCTGGTGTCCTTGTGATTTGTCCCTCACTTGGGATGGCCCGAGGAAGGTCTTACTGCAGACACCGTGCTGGGTTAGATGTCTCTGCCCCTTCCTGTGCCACAGCTGTTGTCAAAGATGCGAGTGTGGCGGGGGAAGGACACGAGGGAAGGGAGCCAGGGCCAGGTGGGGAGGCTGACGCCGGGAAGGGCGCGCGGGCAGGCCATGCGGCGGGGCAGAGGGACGTGCCGTCGCGGGCTCACTGCCAGGAAAGAAGGGGAAAGAAGGTTCCCCTGCGCGTGTGGGATGCGTTCCAGGGGGCGCCGGGCCATCAGCAAGGGGAGGGGAGGCGGTCCCCACTAGGGTCAGGAATTCATGAGTCCCTGCAGATGCGCACCACGCAGCAACACGCCGCTCTGGGAGCCAGTGCTAAGGGGTAGCCCGCCTTGTCCCCAGAGGACTGGGGAGCAAGCTCCTCCCGTTTCGCCTCTCACGTACTTTCGGACAAGGCCTTGCGTTCAATGTAATTGAGCTACTAAATTTAATTACCACTCTCGGATACTTACTGAGAACCTGTCATTAATACCCCCTGGACAGTGGAGAAAGACTGATTGCAATACAGGAAAATGATGCCTGCCCTGGAGAAGTTCACAGCCTGTAGGAAGCAATGATTCAATTGCAGGTGCCTCTAAAGATGGTACAGACTTCTGACGGCCACTGGTAGGATATCATTTATTTTCAGGGCATTGTGTCATGAAACCATTTATTTAATGGATTGTTGGACACCAGAGAGACAGGCCGGTCACCGGTATTCCCCGATGCTAGTCTGATGACTTCGAGAAAGGAAATGACATGACTGAGGCATGACTTGTGCTTCGTGAGTTCATGCTGACTTGGAGTGATCACCGCTTCCCTTTTCCCGTCTTTAAGATCTGGAGAATCTTACGCACCTTCCTAAATGTTTGGTTGCCATCTGTATTTCATTTTTAGTAGGTTCAGAACTTCCTAGAATCTCTCTGAAGATATTAAATACATTTTAATCCCGCGTTTTATTTCGTGTCGTGTTTTGTATTTTCTCGGGGGAGCTCTGCTTATGGAGTTGAGTGGTTTTCTTCCAGCTTCTTGGCCGTTTGGTCACGTTTGTAGGTGAGACCCGTCCCTGAGCAGCGCTGGTGGCCAAGACAGTAAGACATCTCATTTGCCTGGCTAGAAGCACAGGTGTGGGTCAGATCAGCGCTGCCTCCAGGACGTGTGTGTGGCAGAGGGCAGGCGTGCTTTCCCGTAACCTGGGAGCATGGCTGTCCGCAGGACGTGCAGCTGTCCTCCGCCTGCGACGAGGCCCCGGTTCTCTGCACCTGCCGTCCATTTTGGAGTCTCGTGTGAAAACACCCTGTCCACAGTGTGAGCACGTCGCCATCAGCTTCAGGGGGCACAGAACAGGTGCTGCCTCTGTGAGCAGCCTGGCGCTGTCCAGCGCGCGCTCCTCCCCGCCGGCCTCTGCGTATTCTGCAGAATTCTGCTGGGAAAACGCATTTTCCAAGTCCTCTTTCCTGGCTCTGGACATGGGGGCAGCTTGGCTCTGTCCCCCGTCAGCACCGGTCCCCCCAGAAGCTCCTCGCTGCTCCAAGGGACCTTTAGCAACAAACCCCTTCTGAATTTTCTAAAACGTATTTAGATGCATTGACGTTTCTGTGGGACTTGGGAGGACGTAAATGCATGTATTCGTCCCGCCAGCTCTGGCGAGAAGCCACCCACTCTTCTTGGGTCCCTGGCGATTAGCGTTCCGGGGGGGGCGGCCACAGCCACCATGCGGCATGTGGCCTTCAGAAGGGAGTCTCTGGTCTGGCCCTGAGCTGGCGCGGCCTGTCGTCTCTCATACCCGTCGTTCCCTGCGGTTCCCCCAGGGTGACGGGCGGCAGCCCTCTGCCCACGCGCGCGCCCCGCAAGGCATCGCACTCGCACGCCGGGCATGGTAAGCAGCCTTGGCCTCCCTCACCTGCCACGGGGACTCCGTTTCCTTCGGTGTGCTTGTGCCGCCCTCTCACGTGGGAGAGAAGAAAGTCAGGAAGCTGTGACGTTGGCTAAGCGTTCGCCAAGGATGGGGAGACCCTTGTCTTTCTTACCTCCAGCCTTTCCTTCTTTTCTCCGGGCTAAACTGATTTCCAGCCTCTGCGTTCCTGGCACTATTCATCGAGGTCCAGCCTCGACTCCAAGTTCGTGATTTCGTCCCTGGCCCCGTTCCTTCCCCATCCGCCGGAGGTCTGCGTGTTGAAATAGCTCGCTGCACCGCGTTAGTGAGAGCCGGGTCGGAGAGTAAGTGCTCATTGCTGGCGCGATACCCAGTGTGGCCAGTGTGGCCAGCAGACTCTGGACAGTGCCCTGAGGCAGCTCAGTGCAGCAGCTCTCCACTGGGGCGCACTCCCGCGTCACTGTCACCAGAGGTCCCTGTGACAACTGTGCTAACTCTCCCCAGGCTCTTTGTGGAGCTGTCCTCCTCCTCCCTCGGCTTCCTCATTGCTGTGCTCGCGACGCCCGCGCCCCGTCTGGCCCCCGTCTCCCCTGCTCCAGCGTCTCCTCTCCTTCCGACAAAGGCTGTACTCTTCGCGACATCCAAGTAGCTACTTTTATGGAACTTAATGCTGAAATTGGAAAGGAAAGGAAGCGACCAAGTCCCAGCGGGCCAAACTGCAGGGTACTCCACGCTCCAGAGGGAGTGGCAGGCGTGACGGGCCCTTACTGACCTGCTTCCGACTGCGTTGTAAAGCGTTTCGTTGCCGTTAAATCAGTGAATGCAGTTCACAATACTAACGATGGTTCGATGGTTCGATGGTTCGTAAGTCACGGCAGGGCTCCGGGGGACGTGCGAGGTCTGCCTGGGCGCCCTGCTGTGGGTGGCAGGTCTACTGTCTGTGTATGTTTCACCTCTTCTGATCACGCGAAATGGATTTTATAGGGTGCCCTCCATGGCCCTCAGCGAGGCTGGTTAACGTCCTAGTGTGCGTCGGCGTGGGAGATGGGGCTGGTCGGGCCGGCAGTGGTTGTAGCTACGGTCTGTTTTCAAATCTTGACCAGTTCTTAAAAAAAGTTATTCGAACACATCTGTATCACTGTAACTGAATGTGTTTTTATCAGTAAAAATGGCAATTTTTTTCTTAGGATGACTGTAATCCCTGTTCATTTATTTAATTTGGAAAATACAGACAAGGAAATGGAAGAAACAACACCTTTAATCCCATTACCCAGAGGCAGCCTTTGTTTGTCTTTTTCTCCATTTTCTACCAAACGGCATCATATCAAGCATCCCATCTGTAACTCGTTTCTTCCACATAACAATAGTTAATATCTTTTGATATCAGTATTTATCTAAAACATGAAAAGGTGGTGATCCTCAAACTCTAGCTTTCATTACCATGAAACTAATGAAACTTAACCTTTAAGGCCACTCACGCACCCTGGAACAGGCTGCACATGTGTTCTCATAGTCATATGTTTTTGTAAAATTTGCAGAAGTAAGATACTTTAATTTTTTTTCCCTAAAGAGAGCCCTTCCAAATTTTAGAAGCTTTAGGTCACACGAAGTCTGGATTTTTCCCTGATGGTGAGTCCTTTGCTTTCCCGTTTCCATTCATTAACAGACTTTTGAATATGTCGTATGGGCTGCGAGGTTCTGGGCCCCCGGGCGTGTCAGTGAGCAGGGCTGCAGGGGAGTCGAGCTTTCTTGGCGCTTCGGCTGCGGCGGGGGAGGTGGGCAGCAAACGTCAGCAGCAAGTGCTCGCCTGGTGTGTTAGCAGGTGATGCGGGCTGTGGAGGCGGCAGGGAGGAGGGTAAAGGAGACGGGGCATTTGGCAGAGGCGGAGGTCAGGGAGAACTGAGAAGGCGGGGCAGGCTCGTCCTCAGAGAGAAGAGGACATCTGTGCTAGGACAGAGCCGTCGTTTTCAAGGTCATTCAGACATCCTTTTAGCGAGGTTAGCTTTACAGGCATTGCGAGTTCTTCATGATGACACACTACTTTCCAGATGACATAATTCTATAGGCGATATCCGTATACGTCCTGAAATTCTTTGCCTGCTTAAAGGTCTGTGTTTTACAGTTGGTTAATGTGATGAATAAGACCACATTATGAAGTTTTACCTTGAACCGAGATTAAATACATATAGGCCACAACTGGTTGAAGATTTTGTTTTAAATGCAGTTTTGCTTGCTAACAACGTAACGGTCATACTAACATGAAATTAATAGGTTTTAAATGGAAATTAGAGAAACAGCTGTCCAGATTTCTTGACCCTTTCACAATGTTTTACAAGAAATTCTGTAACCTCGACTTTAAAAATACATAATGGAAGACTCATTTAGCAAGCTCGGCCCACAGATGGTGAGTCTGATACTTGCCACAGCTGCAGAGGCCCACCTTTGAATGACATGGGGGCTCCCAAGTTCAAAGGTCATGGGTGTACATCGTGAAAAGCAAACAAACTCATCAACATAATATAGTTTCTACTAAACCTAAAAATTGGTGGCCCTTTTAAATAAGCCTATTTTTACAAGGTATATTGATGCATCGTTTATATATAAAATTCCTGGAACGACGCAGCAGATTGTTAACAGTACTTATTTTTGTGCTCATCTGTACCTTTTAACTTTTTCAATTTTGTGCACATGTTGCTTGAATAAAGATGTAGTTTTTATATTTTCCATGTTTAACCTCTTCTTCCTACGCAATCTCAGATACAGTCCTCACGCCTGAACTTGATGGAAAGTGTCAGGGCGATGTCTTTCTCCTCACTTCCTGGGGACGCTTTTGGGCAGTTGTCCTCCTTCCATCCCTTGACTGTCTGTAACTCCAGTTCTCTCAGTCGTGCGTGGCCTGAGGGACACGGGGACACCCATTGCCTCTCTTCTTTCGTTGATAGGTCCGGCCTCTGTCGACGGTGTCTGTCTTTGTGTCCACTCCTCCGAGCGGAGCGTCCGTGTCCTCTTGGCTCAGCCCACGCGGAGTCTTCTTAGGACAGCCCAGGGCAGCCGTGTTTTCTCTTCCTTCCAGGTGATGAATTCTTGTTCAGTGCAACGCGTCCTGGTCTGCAGTGGCAGAAATCTGAGGCCACTGCAGAGAGCAGGTGACGCCCGGGCCCTAAGGACCCACGCCCGATGCCGCGGCTCTGGGTGGCCAGGCCGGAGACGCAGACCTCACTGCAGGGCGCACCCCCAAACCCAGCGCCGGGGGTGTGAAGCCCAGCCGAGCCGCAGTCTCATGACACTCGAGGTTTATTTAGAGAAGCGAGGGGACATGACAGAGCGTGTGTCGTTCGGCTTCTGGAATTGCTGCGGTTCCTCATGGTGCAGGGTTCGCTGTGTGACAGACAGCTCACCGTCAGGCCGGGTGATGCACGAGGATTGTTTACAGTGTTTTTTTTTTTCAAAAATGCACTGGGGATTTTCACAGAAATTTCTACTTTACTGAAAACCTTTTATTTCCTCATTTTCCTCTTATTGCCCATAATATATATTTCATGTATATCTGCAAGTTCCTCTCTTCCGTCGTCTGCACAGAAACATGTTTGTTGCTCCATGGTGGAGAGCAAGTTCAAAGAGATGCCGCAGTGGAAAGGTCACAGCCGATGGACTCAGGGTACATCGGTGACGTGGAAGCCAGTGGCAACGTCCCCGCTGTTGCCGTGAAGAAACGCTGGCGAAAGAGAGCGACGCGGGTTCGGGCTTCGCCGTGAGCCGCTGACGGCGGAAACGACGGGCTGAGGGCCGCGCTTCCCTTTCCGTGTCGCTTTTCCGACCGAACTGCTACTTACTAACTTCCCGTTAGCGACTCCTTCAGATCCTAAGTGCGGAGGGAAATTTCCTATAAGATAGACATAGACACGCATCCAAAATATTTAATCACGTAATTTTTAAATTTCAGTGGCAAACCAACTCCAGCAGAGAAGGGGTTATTGCAACATAAAAAAAGAAACTCTAAGGAAACTAGGCTCTAGAGAAGCCCAAGCCATTTTACAGGATGACACATGATTGTAAATATCCACCAAGTTCTACTGAGATTTCTCTTCTGCTTTTTTTCCTGCTCATCATCCAAACCCCTTAAGCAACAGTCACACAGCAACTGAATGATCTCGTTGTCAAAGCTGCAACATAACATAGAAAAACAAAGCATGGGGAATCACATTAATGGAACACAATTTGGGGAAATATTTACTCTCAATATAATATCGTGGACTATCCCTCCAAGAGGCATTCTGATGGATGTTCTTCTCGTCATACCTTAGGACATGGAAGGCCTCTTATTAAACCCCCTCCCCAAAAAGGTCCCATTATTTCTCTTTGGGGAGAAAATCTATTATGTTAATTGTATAAAAGCTCTTCCACCCCCATTACATAGCGATATTTCCTCCTTTGTCTTTGGAAGTAGAAAGAATCTGGTTATTACTTTTCGTAAATATTTAAGATTATCTTGAGAGAAAGGAAGAACAATAAATAGAATCACATTCTTGAGTCATGGTTCAAGAAAAACAATTGGCCTCGAAACTATTTCCTTGTTTTAAGTAAGAACCTTTGATTTATTACTCGTAACGCATGTAAGAATGTAAGAGTGATTGCACACTTTGATGTACTGAGGTAATAATTGACATTCATAAATAAGATGAATCGTAAATGATTAGCCCTGTGAATAGGCATATAGAAATTGTTTATTGTTTTTCCCTGTTGAGGTCATGAGCCAGAGTTTGCTTATCTGTAAAAATCACAGTGTGTTTTGTGTGTCATGGGATAAAAAGCATGTTCCAAACACAACAGGTTGGGTTAGCTCTCACGCCCCTGTTAGGGAAGCACGGCTGTCCCCATTTTTACTGAAGAAGGGGTCATTCCCCAGGAGGAGAAGCCAGTCATGGAGAGCGTCGCCAGGCCTCACCCTGCCACCACCCGGGGGCTCCCCCGCTCCGCCGGTGCTTCTTCCCGCTTTCCAGTCTGTCTCTCTCCATGCCTCTCAGGCACGCGCTGACCTCTGGGCCCCCTCTCCGAGCAGCCCCCAGCTGAGGGAGGAGGGGTTCTCGGAGCAGCCTCTCCTCTGCCCAGGGCCCCGAAGGGCCGTGCACTGACCTGCGCTGGCCGAGCTCCTGTCCCCTCACCCCCAGCACCCTGCTCCCCGCTGCCAGTGTCCTGGCACCGGCAGAGCCTGGGCGTGTCCTTGCAGACACTTTTTTTTTACTGTGTCCTATTTAAAACTTTTTTGACTTCTAAAAACACATATCTGAAGTGTGCCCTCTTAGCCACTTGGAGTGCGTAGTGAGGTTAGCTGTGCTCACGTTGCTGTGTAACAGGTCTCTAGAGCTGTCCCTTCTTGCAAAGCCGGGACCCCGCGCCGCTGCCCTCCCCCGGCCTGGCCCTGCCTCTCCTTTCTGTCACCATGACTTGGGCCGGCCGCTCCAGGTTAATCTCACATGAGTGGAAACAGTATTTGCTCCTTTTGCGACCGGCTTATTTAACTCAGCATAATGTCCTCGGGGTTCATCTGCGTTGTAGCGCGTGTTAGAATTTTCTCTTTTTGTAAGGCTGAGTAATACTACATTGTATGTACGTACCACGCTGTCTTTATATATTCATCTGTCAATGGGCATTTGGCTGTTTCCACCTCTTGGCTGTTGCGAACGCAGCTGACAAACAGGGGTGCGTGAATATCTTTTTGAGGTCCTACTTTAAGTCCTTTGGGATATATACCCAGGATTGGGATTGCTGGATCGTGTGACAGTTCTGTCTTTAGTTTTTGCAGGAGCAGCCGTGCTGTTCTCCGTTCAGGCTGCCCCGGTTCCCGTTCCCAGCGACAGTGCAGGGGGCCAGCTTTCCCACATTCTCGCCAGGGCTCACGTTGTCTTTTTTTGATAGTGGCTCGTTGTGGTTTTGTTTTGCATTTCTCTAAAGATTAGTGAGTATAGCCTTTTAAAAACACGTCGAAGCCTTATTTTTGCAGTCAGCTCTGCGTCATGTGCTAAGCGCTCTGCATGCTCACGCTCATCACTGACCGGCCATCCGGTGGCCTCGGTGTTCTGACCTTACTTTGTTGGCGAGGGAGCTGAGAATCAGATCCGGGTGAGTTCGCTCAGAGCAGAGCGCTGCGAACCGGTGCAGCCGGGCTCCGAAAGCAGCTCCGACTCCGCGGCTCATCGCTCACCCCTGAGCTGCCCCTGCCCCGCCCCGGCCCCGGCCCCTGCCCCTGCCCACCCTGCCGCCGCCCGTTCATCCCTCCAGCCCTCCAGCCCTGCGCCAAAGACAGGGAAGGCCGCGTTGGGGGAACGCCCTGTGCCGCCCCCGCTGGCTGCTTCCAGGGGCGCGCGTGCCACCGTGCGGGAAGCGGGGGAGGGCGGGCTTTGCGTTCCACACGCGCGTTCGCTTGGTTAGCTCTGCGAGCCGCATAGTGCAGTGGAAGAAACGGAGTTTGGGTTTCTTACAGACACAGAGTCTTTGTAAACCTGGAGGTTCTGCTCGTTTCTTCATTCGTTTTTTCCTGGTGAGCACACTCCCCAAATATGCAGGCATTTCAGATAGAGAAATTCCAGTTCCCATCGAGGACTCGGCTGACTCAGAGAGAGAGGCAGCGCGGCCTGCAGGGCAGGGTGCACTCACAGGTCACCCGCAGAGAGGGGCTGAGCGAGGGCCAGGACGCCTGGCACAGGGCGGGTCATTCTCTCTGCGCAGGGGAGGGGCTCGCCGCTGTCCCCAGTCGGCTTCCTGGTCCTCCTGCCCTGGGCGGCCACCCTGCTCCCTGCTCGTCAGGGATAAAGGCAGCGGGGCAGGAACTAATTATAGATGTGGTTTTCCTTACGTAGTGACAAATTCAGAGCTGATTTTGACATTGAAGATGACCTTACACCCAGGTAAATTGGGCCATGTGAAGACACTCCTGACTGTCAGGGGAAATTCTCGGGACTGGAAATCTAGCCCAATCTTCATTTTGTCTCAGGAAGCATCAAGAGGACAGGGAACTAGAATTATTTTGTATGCGCCTTACATTTGAGAAACACTTTAATTCTCACCTCCAACTATCTAGATTGAAATAGATTGGGCTGTAGAACTGCACTGTTTCAAATTTATAGCACCAATTAACAAAAACTTCTTTAGGTAAACGAGTATAAATCTCCCAGTAGACTTACATAAGAGGCTCTAAAAATGACTGTTGGTATTTAAAATATTCTTTGAGTGCTGCCAATGATGCAGGAACAAAAGAAGCTAAGTATTTGTAGCCAGGTGTGGTGTCCTCTGCAGCTCTGAGTCTCTGGTGCCACGCGCAGTTAGATTGGTCATGTGTTTTGTGTCCCTAGCCGTCAATGTAAGTCGTCAAGCCAGAAACAACAAGCCACATCATCTCGGCGTTTGTAAATTGTTAGATTTAGAATGGCCGAATGTCGAAATGAAACCACTGAGTATATGAAATGCTGCTCGCAGACCATGTGACATCATCTGGACTCGCCTCCGTGAAGATAACACACAGACCTACCGTTCCATTTCATCTCTTCTTACGAACATTCTTTTACTCATTTTGCTTTCTTTTTCTCTTCTATGTGATGTTTTCTTTTTCTTTCATACTCTATTAATAGTTCAGTGTTTCTTAATCAAGTTTCTGAGCGACACTACACTGTACTTCCTTTTTCAAGGAAAACGGCTTACGGGAAATAAGAACGCAGCGTAAGAAAA